CGCGCGCGCAACATTTTTAATTTAAGTTCGACAGGAACCCGCACCACTGTGTGCTTTTTTTTTTTTTCTCCTCTTCCTTTTTTCCCTCGGATACGCCATGGTCGTGAATAGATTCCAAATGGGGGTCGGAACGCATCGGTAATAACACACCGCGCGGGATCACGTTGTTTCGCCGTCATCGATATCGCGGACAATAATCTCGGAATACTCCAGACGGTACCGTGATTTCTCTGGAATCACCAATATTTTCCTCGAGTGAACGGAAAACGCTGCCCTGACGAATCAAGAACGCGTATTTCGCGGATTTAACAAACTGTATTGGGTGTTTGAATAGGAAGTTTATTCCTTCTTATGTCTGATAAGGACGTTTCAATCGAAACTTCATTGTGCCACGCGTTTTTATTTCTCGGTCATTTCACGCTAACGATGAACAAACATCCAAATCGAACTCTCGTAATCAAGCTTTATGGGTAATCGAGTGCGTGTGTGTAATAATACATTTGCGTAGATGACGCGCAAAACGCTTGTTAACGGAACGGATAATAACAACACTTGTTTGAGGGGGATCGATACGCTAATCGTAATATACGAGTACAGCGCGCGTAATGTGTGTCCGAAAAATGAAAAATTTAGACAGCGTGAACGGTTTGAAGCATATCGCGGTCTGACCTACCGATACGATCGCAAAATATTCGACGTTAATTCATTGCTCAACGAGTATTACTTTCGATCGGAAATAGTTCATTACGGGAAAAGGGGTTTTTTTTTTTATTCGAAAGTGGTTTCGTTCACCGAGTGGATCCAGAAGGATTTCAACCCTTTGCCTTACAATTTTTACCCTCCAGAATTACTTTATTGTTTATAATTTCCCAGGTACAAGACGAGTTCTATTCTCACGGCAACTGTACATTTACTCAGACTCTTAACTCTTTGAGGCTCGGTGGTATAAAAAATGTCCCACCTTTTTTTATATCGAACTCGCACAGTAGAACGTTAGTCATACCACCTTTAAATCGTGAAATTACTAAAAATTAAACATAATTCAAGTAGAATAATATTTTGACATATTTCATACAAAAAGATGTATGTGCAACTAGGTATTTTTGTTACTGTAAAATCCTGTGCTTTAAAGAGTGAATTACCTTGAAGAAAACGAATAATATGCATATTTAGTGAATCCAGTTTGAAATCGCCATCACGTGTCTGACTCAGTGTGATAAAGCACGGGGTGAATGGGGTTAGATTAATGCAAAGTATCCCGTCCTTTCTTCCGTCACCCCCTAAATTTCTTTGGCGCAATCTTTACCCTAAAAATGTGTTTTTCTTATCGCTAGTGGTCACTTTGGCGCGTTGCTCACGGGTTCACGAGCACCACGGACGCTTGCAACAGATGGCATCCAGCAGTTCGAAGATTGTAATAAGTTCTACGTACCTTTGGAAGTGGTACTCCAGCTTGAGCAGCACGCGTTACCACGAACCAATCACGAAATGGAAACGCGGGCAAGATGAGAAAATCTGATCTGGAATGTCGTTCGGTTCGATTACGCGCCGATTCGAAGCCGTGGGACAACGCAGACTCGACGGCAATACGAGCGAAAAGACGTTTGACGCGCGTCGCGACGCCGACTGGAGAATTTCACGGCGGGTCGGTCGGCGGTGGGCATGTCGACCGGACGCCTGCTCGCCGGGACGCCGGGACGCCGGGACGCATGCTCCAGGATACCGCCGTCCTCCGAAACGGAAACGTCTGGCAGAGAAATTCGAGGGAGGAAGCTAATAATTGAGAGACACTCGGGAACCGACGATTGCCTGTTCGGAATCGAATGTCGCGTCAACGACGGGGAAGAATGTGCGCACCAGTGCGCTTTTAATTATCCTCGACCACGCGTTTCAGATCGGTCTTCGGTCGAGTATTCGAGGAAGTAGAACGAGAGTTCTTTTGTTTGGTATCGCGCTTCGGTGAATTTTATACCCTTTTCGGAAGCTCATTGTCGTGTTATATTGTTATACAGACTTTTCTCGATTATTGTCCGACTTGGTCTACACGATTATTGTCCAGGCGTCATCCCCACCACTGGGAGTGTGAGGTCGTGGAACCTGTCAAGCGCATAATTTGTTACCCTTCCGGTTTTGTTGTGAAGAATTTACGAAGGTCTGAAGCATTTCTCCCTATAAGATTGTAATAATAAATTGATTGAAAGATAATCGAAAGGAGTCTGTTGAGTTTCACAGAAAGAGTTGTGGTCGAGACACGCGTGTTGCGGGATTTTTATTTCTGAAAGTTTGAAAATAAGTAATTATATTTATTTCAATTAACGTAGGATCGGCGTTAATAGAAGAACACGACGACGCGACAGCGTGAATTGACGATAGTACGTAATGTTTCTGGAAAGAAGGACGAAGGAATATGTCATAATAATCGGAATAGTCGCACGAACGTTCGAAGATCCGTTAACGACGGTCAAGAATGCGGAGCGTCTTAGTTTAAATGCGTTTTACGGTGCCCATGAAAGTATAGATCATTGAGGCTTCACTGCATCTTCTCGATTCCCTACCCACGGGACGTCTATGCCGAGCAATTTATTACCCACACCCCCGTGAGGTAGGTTACGATCCGACGTCGACCTGTTAATGCGAAGCTAAGTCGTTTCCTGGGGCCGCTGCTAAAGCTCCTCGCACAACGTGACCCGTCTACACGTTGATCCGCTCAAAATCGAAATCAGAAAATCGTTTGAAAAATAACACGCCTGTCAATTGCTTTTTTCCTCTGTCACTTATCGTTAACGTTCCGAACGAAACGACGCGTGAACGATGTTTGCTTTTTCAACGAGGTCGATTTCAAACGGTCGATTCGACAAACTGATTGTGCGTGTTGGAATTATCTGGCACTTTGGTTAGTGAAAATAACTCTTACTCCACCGGTAATGTCTTTTTATGCGCTCGCCACGAGGTCTGCCAGACATTACCTGCCTCCGGAAATGATTGAGATTTATCACTGTCAGCCATCTTCATGAACGCGTAAACCATAAAAAAAAAAAACGCGGCCCGACACGCGACATCGATTCAACGGCCATAGTCGTGAATGTCGTCTCGTGCTTTCAGCCATTCTCGTTTCATTATATGCCTCCTATGTTACACCAATATTTACTGGTTAGCTACACTCTACAGTGTTCACGTCTTTGAACATTATAAAATTGTACGTAACGTAAGAGTGTAGAGGGTGTAGAGATTAATAGGCCGTTTCCAGCAAAGTATGTCGTTTGTTGGAATGCGCGTTCGACCGACTTTATTTGGTCACCTGTGTCTAGTGTCCTACAAATATACTGTGAAGTGTGGCGAAAGTCCTTTATCCACAACCGTAGGCTACAAAGGGATAAAACGATCGGAGCATGAACAGGTCAAAGTTAAAAGGTCAGAGCTTCTGCTTCGGGCGTAGACTCTGCGAAAAGGGACGAGCAAATAACGTTCATAAAAAAGAAATAAAATTTACGACGGCGTCCGTTGTCGAATAGCTCGCGTATACTTTTAATTGATGCCGTGAAACGGTATCAGCCCCGATGACGTCATCACTGTTCACGGTTTCAAATATGAAAGTAATCGTAAAAGTAAAAGTGAGGAACATTCACGCTCTACGCTCGAGTATTTACTATCACTAAACCTTTTTTTTTTTTGTCGCCTCGCAAACCGCATGCAACAGGTCGAATCACCCCTTTACCGTCCCAATCAAATATTGATAAGAGAAAGGGGTCGGCTCTCGTTAAAAATATTCAAATTAGTTCTCAGAGGATTGGATCGTTATCACACGCACGTATCGTGTTTAACGATATACAAACAGCATTTATAACACATCGATTATCGATTACTAATAGGCTTGAGATACTTATAATCCATCTCTTTTCAACGGAACCAACATTCCTTTCGAACGTGCATGGATTTGGGAGAAATCTACGAACATTCATTAATACGCGTCAGTGGATAATTTTCGCAGCACGTACACATTAAGGGGTGATTGGATCGCTTTCTTAGAAGGCTCGTACATACCTAGGATAGCAAAACAGATAACCCAAACGGATCGTGATTCAATTTACGGGATCAATTGCAAGACTGCCACTCGCTGTATGACGAAAAAGTAACAAGAAGACACCGAAACACGCGATCGTATTTGTGGAAAATACACGAAATGCATGTTTAAATAATGGAGAATCGTTAGTAGGATGCCTCTAGTTCAGTGAGTTGCGTTTGCAACGTTCACGATTATTACAACATTTACATCGAACGCATATTAAGCTGCGGGGAACAGATACATGGACCCTAACGCATTACACTGTATCGATTCGTGTGGACGTAGATCTTTGTGAGTGCGCAGCATGCTAGACTGCAGTTGACGGTTAGCCGTTAATTTCCATCAGTGATACATTTACTTCTCTATAGGGTGTGGCTAAAACAGCAATGCAAACAGTGGAACGGTGAATGTTTGTAGAAAAATAAGTTAAAAAAACAAACTAAAATATTTCCCAACGAGTAGAACTTATTCGTGTATTCTAACCTTATTATTCCATTGGAAAACACTGAGTAATCAAACCTATAGAAACAATAAGTAACGTGTCATCGATTTACGAAACTGATTTTCAGTTCTTCGATAGTCGTTTCGTAGACGGAAAATACGGATGGATTTTCTTGTTTCATCGAAAAGCACGACCAAGGGACTCTTGAAATGCTGCTCACGTATCCGCGACTGATTTGTAGATAGATACTGCTCTGGAGAAAGAGAGAGAGAGGGATTGAGGGTGGAAAGTACCGTACAGAGAATTAGCGACCATTCAATAAGTCTCACAAAATTCCCAGATTCGTAGAGTATCGACAGAAATTTTCTGTTCGTTACAGATTTAGGCGTTGATTGAGAAAGAGGATCACCATCTTTGTCGCCGCGATGTAACATGTTCAAAACGATAAAGCGAATAATGAAACAAGGCTCTTCATAAAAATATCTGCTTTATTATTTCAACTTGATTTTGTAGGGTGTCCCTGTTATTACATACAATAAAATATTAATAGTAACAGACATAACAGCAATTGTGATAACGCGTGTACAATAATAATAATGGTAATAATAATAATAGTTGCAACCATAGTCTGTTATTATGTAATGGGACATATTGAACGCTGAAAAAAACTTATTACTTTTCTGCTCTTCTGACACCACAATTGTTCCTACGTAAAAGGTTACCGAGTGCTTTACAAAAGTGGATCACGATACACTGTCTTTGGCGTATCGTTTATCACAAAATTACTAAAGCGCCACGAAGCGGCCTCTCCGATTTGACAAAACTAAGCGTGTCATGGGAAAAACAAATGGAAATGTTTTGTCGTTTCGCTAAATGCCTACAAAAAAACTAGCTACAGCAAGACGCGTATCAAAACGTGAACTTCCCATTTCGTTGAACTTGCATGAAAATTTGAGTCTAAACCTGAAAACGCGAAACCGGCGTAATTCTCGGAACGTTAAACCCTTGAACCGTATTCTAGATTATGTTTGTCCGATAGCTATGCATGACAATTTTCTACCAATAATTGTAGATTACACTGAAGATCGAAGTCCATGATTAATTACACTTCGAGACGGGAGTGACATACTTATAACATGGTGCGCCGCAAGTAATCCATGAAACATCCGTAAAAAAAAAAATGGAGATGAGAAAAAATGAAAATTTCGAGTCGAATGACGAACGAAGCGCGTTCGATAAAATTAAATACGAATTACAGATGACGTAAATATCTGTCTGTGTTGAGACAAAAGGGAACAGAGTGGATAATCATTTAATAAGTGAAACATCGGCTATTCTCCTTCTTCGAAAAGATAGAAGACAGATCGTGGCTATCTTTAACCGCGCGTTCCCCGTCTTCGTTCAATCGTTTTAAGACACACTCGTTGCGTTTGATGTTTCGGTCGCCACTATTGTTTCCGAATATCATAAGACGGAAAAACGTGTCTTTCGCTTTCGTCCATCCTGAAATCAATATATTACGAAGACTTTCTATTCCATTCAGTCGTATTCGTGGGAAGGTTCCGTCTTGTTGAACAAAGAATCTCTCTCTTCTTGAGTGGAAGGAACATCGGAGGTCGTGGACCTCAAAACTTTCGGCACTTTGCTAACTTTGCTGAGACCTTCGGTAATACCGCTACCTCCGGACACACTGGAAAAGAGACTGAGATCGTCACATTAGAACTGGATAAAGTAGGCTACGATCAAGTGTAGATGATTGCAGTAAATGATAGAAGTATATATTTACTATAAAAGAACCATGTAGTTGATAAAGTAGAAAACGCGGCGAACACTTACACAACGTCAATTTCATCGTCCTCGTCAGCCTGGACTGTCTCGTCGTTTGTTAGAGTAAAGTATGGATTCGCGGAAGCTGGTCGGAACTTATATCCGGTAAGGACGAAGAAGACGTACGTGGCCATTTCTCGGAACATTTCGTCCAGCCACTCGTATTGAAAAGGTACCGTGATCTATAAAAGTAAAACATGAAACAAACATTCCGTACGAAGCCCCACTGACAAATAATCGACTATTGTAAAACAAAGATTATACCTTGAGTAAGTACATAATGATTCTTGTGAAGTAGATGTAACAAACTATCATGATATAGAAATGTCTGAAAAGCTTAAGCTTGCGTAAATTCACAGCTGCCTTGCCGTCCGTGTGCGCAGCTTCCTGTAAATGTCTGATACTCCATACTACTGGAAATAGGATGGCGCCGCAGCACAACAAGTCTACGAGAATAAAAACGTCTCGCCAAGTCTTGTGCTCGATGTCTCCTTCCTCGCTTTCCTCGATTATTATTTCAGCAACATTCGCTAATACCTGTCAAGGCCAGAACTTGTCACAAAATGGTTCCGTTTCTTTGAAATACGCCCAAATACATATATTCAGATGCTAACTTGTAATGGTATCACGATCATAAAAAGTTTCTTGTCTTTGTCGGCTAATATGTGTTTAATGAACGTCCATCCAGTACCAACGAGAAGAATGGTGATGAAAAGTACGGCTCCCTTTAGTAAATGCGTGATATAATACAAAATCGCCCACGCAGCCACGTGTTCCCCTTTAGTTTGGATAAAATGATAATTGATCCCGTGGAAGAGTAACGACAAAGATTTCAAGTATACGAGCACCGCCATCAAATAGTGGATCTTGAACACGGGATGCCTAAACGAAGAATACGGCATAAATATAACACTGTCGACAATTTGAAAACGCACAAGACAGACTAAAAACAAGTTCCCTTACTTGCTCTTTTTAAGAATGAATACCCAAAAGCACCCGGACAAGAAGAATAAAAGCGCCATCATGAAATATAGGGCCGGCAAAGGCATTTCACCAGCGCTCAGAAAATTTCCGCTATTGATCTCGGATATTTGTACCTGTGAATTGTGTACCATTAGATGTAAAGCTTCGATCTTGAGATAGAGGTCTCAAATACAGAAAATCAGAGCCGTGTATCGTTCACAGAAAAGTATCTTACCGTGAAATCTAACGCAACCTGTGAACCGTACTTATAATTTGGGCAATTGTGAAACAAAAGATTATAAAGACCCTCATCCTCTTCGCTGGCGACGTACACGAGAAACGTGGTATTATAATATTTCTCCCCTTTCACATTGCGCACGTTCATTGGTAGTTTAAGACCAGAGCATGCCCTTCTGCCTTCCGTCCTAGACTGGAAATCATCCTCGTTAGCGGATCTTTTGATATCTGCAAAAGTAATCGGACTTGATTTACATCCTTATCGCTTTGCCCCTGACTGCGCTTGGAATGATAAGCGGATCGAGATTTATCGTAAGTCTCATGCAATTCAATCGTGAAATCATTGGCATAAAATGCACTACTCTAGAAGACAGTTACCTAACCGGACCCTCAAAAATACTTGAGTTTCGAGTTATTTATAAGATTGAGGACGAGTCACGTTAATTATAGCGTCTCTCATCGCGGTGGTGTTCGATCACCGATGTCGCTTTGAGACCACATTCCGCGAGATATCGACTACGATTCGTGTTTGGTTCCACGAACCGCACAGGCGGTCGATACGTTCGACGTTGCGATAAACACGGAATTTAAATTTGGACCGGATAAGACTCCGTTACTAATCGATGACATATCTTGTAAATACGAACTGACATTATACTTTCTACATAACGTGACCTTGTTCCGATAATTGTACAAATCTTATCATAAAAGAAAAAACACAAATGCATCCTAACGTTAAAAGTTCATTACGCACGTTGTACTTTGCAGCGTGGCACCACATTGCCGGGGCGATTCTTCCTGTATCGTCACGGAACGATCTATTGCGCGCATTAAATGTCACATGATCAACACAAGCAAGCGACGTCTATAAATTCGAATGAAATCGCCTCACAGTTCATAGTATCAATTTAAGCTCGCTTGAATGGCAAACGATTCAAGGTTTCTCGTATAATACCGATTAAACGTTCTCTAGATCCAAAGAAAAACAATATCTCTTACTGTCAATACTAATTCACAGTTCTGGTGGAGTGTGCTCGGGACAATTTTAATAAAATATCTGCGTGAATTGGAAACGTTAATGGGTACGACCTAAGGTCGCAGTTTGTGCCAACTTTTCATTTTCCACCTGTTAGTCTGTTACGACCGAATCAAGTTCTAATATTAGTAACAAACCGGAATTGAAAATACCTCGCGGATGCGGCGACATTTATTTTTAATGTTCCCCCAAATCATTTCTGACGTGCGCTTCCATATGGCGGTGTGTGTCGTTCCAGCAAACTCTTTAATTTTCAGTCAACCCGTCGGCGTAATTCGAAAGATGTACAAATCTTTACGTGGCCACGAATCAAAATCAAATTAGAAGAAACGTTCGATAAAGTGAGGAAAACCGCCTCGGATGATATTTAGGAATATTGGGAAAATACTGACGCGAATTACCATAAATATTCGATTGACAAACTTGCGGAAGTTTGCGGGGTGTTATCTCGTAACACGTTACCAATTCCACGCGGTCTATCGCGCGTCAACTTCCTGTCTTTGGACAGTTGCCAATATTAAGAGCGCACAACGCCCGCAGCAATAAACTTTCGCCTCTCTGTTAGTATCATTCGTCTTTTGCAACGAGACGCGCTTCCGCCGATTCACTCGAGAATGCAAATTTCTTCGAACTCTCAATGCATATCTCGGGAATCCGGGGCAAAACGTTGCGTAAGACTGACCGATTGCTGTATCTGCGCGATCGGTATTTAAAGAAACAAAGGAAAAACAATGTTCTTCAAAACGTGTTTACGAACGGAATATTGATCTCACAAGGATGTTTATTATTACGACCGCTAAAACGAAGGCGATTGGAACGATCTGACTCACCGTGCGAGGTATAGCGTTTTCTCCGTGGAAAGAGAACGGTATCGCTAAACCTGGCCGGAAAGGAGTCTCTCTTTGCTCGGAAAACTAACAACATACTGGAATCCTTGTAGACATGTACCGTATGGACATTCGGAGTACAGTTCACTTTCAACCTGGAACAGATTCATTCGTATCGTTAGTTAGTTTCAATAATTAGTCGCAATTCGATCGATCGCGACGCGAATACTTACACAGAGTTTTTCAAGTCCATCGTGAAATATATGGCCGCGTTGCTGTCGGCCGTCGTCTCGAAATCGGACTTGTTTGAAAGGTCCTGTAGCACGCATCTCTCTTGGTGACTATCTAAATACGGATTCATCGCATCGCTTAGCGTACGATCCAAACTGAATCCAAACTGAATCGTAAAAAAAAAATACAAAGCACACACATTATACAAATAAGAGAGGCAAACCATTTGCAAAATCTTGTGAAATACGAAGAAACATAAGGGATTTCTTCGTCAATCGACCACCAATCGGCCGTTCCGACATCATTGTCAGTGAAATGTTTGTAGTGTCAAACACATTAATGATTAAACGTGGACTAACAAACAGCAAGGAATTATTGTCGCAGGCTCAGACCGTTGTGTCGTGCGGTTAAGCGAGAAAGGAAGTAATTCCGTTCATGCATTCTTCCGGTCGTCGAAAAATGAGTGGTACGTGTTATGTAGAAATTATTTTCAGAGCTTCCGTTTTCGACAAAATCGATAGCGAAATAAAATTAATTTCGTGTCACATCGCTACCCTATTTGTATACAGTATATCGAAAGCAACACGCGTGTTTCCGATTCGTCAGTAATTAGTTGCTTTGTCGTCGAACAAAGAAAAAGGAGTTAAATGTCAAATTCCGTTAACTTGTCCTACAGATTTCATTGACAGAAAAATTGTATTATACCTGTATAAACAACGAATATAATTTCTCACTTTTCGATGTATTTTCTCGAGAGAAATTCTTTCTTTCGGTTTGTAGTTTCTATCGCATAGTTTAAGACAGTATGATGTATGCATGGGAAACGATTGTACTCCGAAAGGCGTAAATTTAGAAATGGTTTCGAGTAATTTCCTAGCGGTGATTTAGTGATGTGAATGAGGGAAAATGGAAACAGGTGTCCGTGAATGGACGACGCGTAGTATTGTGCGGACATCCACGCTACGATGATAACTCACCACGGCATTCTCGTCGAGAGGCTGGGCCTTGAAATTTGTCAAATTTACTTCGAGAATACCGCTCTTGTAAAAACCGAAGGTGCTAAGGGCTATGTATGGCCTTATGTCATTCTGAAACATGGAAAATTCACAGGCGTGAGCGTAAGCGTATCAAAATACCGTAACCTATGACTAAGAAAAGCGACTATACATATAGGTAGAAAAACTGAAAGCACGATTGATGTATAACCTATACGTCGCGCATCCCTCCGTTTATCGAATTCTTTGCGGAAACCTTTTACACTTTCCATGATACATCTAGTTTCAATCGGACGAACATACAAACTTCGTGAACGTCAATATCGTACTAGATAATGCTCTTTCGCAAAATTCATTTAAAGCATTTTCGAAAGTTCAAAGTTTGCTAGCAACATGAATAGTCTCACATAATTGGATCAATACCGGTAATATTAGCTACGTTCAACGGTAAAATGTTACTGATGCAACGAAATATATGACAATAAAATAACTGGTAAATATACACGAACTATTGCTCGGAATAACTGAAACTAACCCGTATTTCGAGCTTGTGTATTCTGGCGGAAGCCAATACAAGCAGAGACATAATCCAGATACATCGCATCAATAGTTGTTTCGATTGCATTTTTGCTAATTTTCACTGGAGAAATGTCACATCACGAAAACACAAACTAACCACACATCAAAAACTTTCAGTGTTCGCTCGTCGATACACGAGCAAGAACTGAGCATGAATCGCGGGAACTCGGACTATGACGAACGGAATGAACGAACTGAACTGCGCGCAATTTTTTAAAGACTTCTTAGCAATTATCGTTTTTATCGTTGTAATTTTGCAAAATTAATCGATAAAACATTATTATACTAAGAAGTAGTCATAGTTAACATATGTTATATGCAGTTATATGTTAATGTACTTCCCGTTGTCTGGAAAAATGTCTTTCTAATAAATGTCTTTCTAATAAGCTAATTGTTTTGAAACACCAAGTTTGTGCTTTTCTTGTAGATAAACCAAGATAATCTCTGTACATGTTTCGAGAATGACGTAAATATAACAGCTTGAAATACTGATATATGTAGGTAAATACAAAACGTAAAAGAAACAAATTTGCTCCCTTTATTCGAGTATCGTGCTTCAAATTTTAACGGATATCCGAATTAGCTAACAACTGAATTTGAACGTCGAACTAAATTTAAGAATTTTGAATATTACGAACTTGAAGGTGAATATTATTTTAACGATTAATTCAGAATAGTCATCGTCATTTGAAATAGACACGATCAACATTATAAAGGTCTGCAGAACCTTTGAGGTTATGTTATATTCATCGTTTACCGTTACAAAAGATACTTCAAATTATATTGTATGTTATGGAAGAACACTTTGCAACACTGAGATTATTAGATTCGGATACCGATAATAAATTAACTAAAGCTTTCAGTTATTCCGAACTGCCATCGTCGCAACAATTATGTATGCAACAATCTTATCATTCTGGAAACCCATCTGGTTTGGTTAGACAATACAGTTGTGAACAAATTTTTGATGCAACTGCAAACACCAGGTAAAACTTGAATGCTTACACAGAAGCGTAAGAATGTACTGAAAGCTGCATTTCTAGTGTTTCAAATTTTATTGTAATTTCAGAAAACTGAAGATTTCAGAAGTGGTGCTATCTCAAACCAATGAATGTAGAAAAGAGTGGCAAACAACAGTACCTTACCCTAATGCATTTCATATGCCTAAATGGCAATTTTGTAGTGATACTAAAATAATACATTCACCAAATCTTACATCCAATGCAGCAACTAATGAAATAGAATATATGGAAGTTGAAAATGCAGAGACATCAAAAGAATCTATATTTTCATCGAGCAACTTACCAGTAAATATAGATACAATAGATAAGTCAGAACCTGAAAGTGAACAACTCGATGATACTAAGATAAAAGACCAACATTCGTATGCAGATGTAAAGAAGAATCTTAGACCATTGATGTCAAAGGCAAAAGCTCCAGTAAAAAAGAAAACAAATATGTGTTGTTGGAATTTATTATATGTAGGTATCATACCAATTGTAATAGGAACAATTGCACTGATTTTAAATCCTGTTACATACACGGTTTGTAACCGTGCTATAATGTTCTCCAATGCTACCCTTGAATTACAACGAAACTTATATGGACAAGAGGATGCAACTTCAAATATTGTTAATGCATTACAGAATGACATTAACCACTTAAAATTTATATGTCTTATAGGTGGAACAGGTATTGGAAAGTCTTATACTGCTGAAATTATAATAACAAATTTCCCACTTAAAAAGAAAATCTTCGTACACGATATGGCGTTAGAACATAGTGTCGATGAAAAAGTATTAAATTCAATCAATTCTTATGAATTGATAATTATAGAAAATTTGAAAATAAAAGATTTCGATGTGTTTCTTAATATGATCGATATATTGAACAAAAACAGTAATAAATGTATTACGATATTTGCGATTGTTAACGTAGAAAACGTAAACAAAGATTTGACACGAGACGCTGATCTAACAAAGAGTGCAACTGAAATTAATCGGGGTTTCAGTGACAAATTAATCGATGTGTCCGTTATTCCATACCAGCCATTGAATGAACAGGCCTTAAAAATGTGTATAATGAATGTAGCAAAACAGAGTGATTTGATCCTTTCAGAAGATCAAATGAATGAAATTATGCAGAATTTAATATTATCGGGTAGTGGTTGCAAAGGAGCATATGCTAAGGTACAAGTTATTGGAAGGGAATAAGTTTAAAGTAATCGTTTTTTATATTTTTTTTAACCAAGTTCCTCTACACAAGAAAATCTTAAAGACTGGTGTACATGTTTTCCATGTTAACTTAAACATTATACAGGCGTACAAAAATTTGTATAATTTTAAAGCGAAGTATTTAAATCTTATTTTTAATGATAATACAGACTTTGAAATCCTTCCTTGCTAACTGCAAGTATGTTCCGTTTATATACCTAAATATTTTTACTACTATATAGTGTTCTTTCATTGAAAGTATAATATTATCACTTGTGTATTCCTTTTAATTGTATGTGTGATTTGATTATTTGTTATTTAGCTGTTTTAGGAGCAATGTGATTACTATTTTTGTACCACGGGTGAATTTGGGAGGATGCGTTCAAGCGTGTAATGTATTCCTCCAAAGTAATCTTCGTAGTAAAAGAAATAAAATGCGTTAAAAATGTTATAGCTTCTACTTATTGCCAACGAAGACGAGTTATTTGTTACGAATGTTATGTGAACTTTTGTCTCTTACGGCTGCACTCGTCAGTAAAATACTTTCCCGCACGTAATCTCTCTACCCTTAGTCCGGAGCATTCTTGCGGGGATAGTCGCATTTCACTTTCCGATTGTAACTGCTCGCGCAGTATTGCGTGTCAAAGATTCGTAAGAAAACAGTACTCAACTATTACATGGACTTACGTTGGTATAATCGTTACCGTTATGCAAAACCGTATGAATCTGCGCCACAAGACGTGAGATGAGTCACTCTTTTATTTTCCGAATGCTTATTTTCATTTACGATATAACCGTAGGATTATTTATTTAACGATCACCTCCACATAACGATGCTTATTTAAGTGTGATTAACTCACAATACAAACTAATAAAACTATAGAGAAACCAATGTTCAATCGTTATACGGCATCGTAGAAGTAATTAAACTTAAGTCTGAATTGAAAAAAAGAAAGAAATTTCTTAATTGCTTGTTACGTGAATCGATGACGTAAGGTGGAGACTTACGTGTTAACGTATTGCTTCTGCAAAATTGACGTATGAATGTGTACTTTTAAAATTTTGTTTACAGGAATCACATACCGGTATCAAATACGTTTGCGGAATCAGTGTCAATGTCAGGGTACAATATTAGAATGTAAGATCTTTTTGATCAAACTCATTTTCTATTCACGACATGTATTGCACAAACGTTTAGGAACAAGTTATCCTCAAACAGACTTTCGTCAGGATGACAAAAAATGACACGGTACGCGCGAGAGTTGCCGTAACATTTTCTCAAACGTCCTTAAAGTTTAAATCACGAACGAAAGAAAAGTTTTACATTTTATAGTATAGACGAAAATTTGAAATAATAAGTAAAAGCACGTTGTAATCTCAAAAAATGATTCGATAATATTTCTCGCACAAGAAAACATATTAATTTCAGGGTGTATTTATGATTTTTCATTTCAATGGTAGTCTACAAACCGAAAAGTTTTACAAGGAACTTGCAACTCTGTAGAAAGAGGAGATCGTTGCGAAATTCACCACCTTCGAACTTGGTTTAAACGAAGGATGATACCTGTCCTTGCGTGTATAAAAGAGAGGCAATCAAGTGAACCGATACATTCCCGTGATTTCATCTGGACGTAGAATCTCGCAGCAATTTCCACCGAATTTCTCAGACATTCGAATCGTTCGCTCAACGAAAGAGCCGAATTTAATCGACGGTCGTTTAGTAACGCGTGAATTGTCCCTCGAAGGGTTCCAAGTCCTAGTAGGACGGCCTACCGCAAGTACACCGGTGGTGGAACTAGAAGAAAGGTGCGACTGGAAATTATAAAAGAGCGATCGGCGGTCAAGAGGAGACAGTCTCCTCCAAGTGTTCACCTGTGCGACTACGATCCGGGTATGTTAATGCTTTTTTTTTGTCTTGCACTTTTTGCGAAACTTGTATCAAATTATTTATTAATTTCGTTTTTTTTACTCGCGACCAAGAGTTCACTCTCAAGGATAACACCATACGAGATTACAAAAATATAGAATGTATATCATACCTTTGGCGGCAACGTTACATTCGAAATACTGTTTAGCGATTATTATTGGTAAGAAGCTTCGATTCAACAGTTCCATTGTAAACATTTAGAACGTTAACGAAAATATTCAATTTTCCTTCGAAATTGTCTCCTTTAGTTTAATCCCGTAGGGTGTCTTGATATTTACGTTGTTTGTTACGTTGAAGCATTAAAATACTTCTTAACAAAGAAGGGATTTTTTATGGATAAACAGTTTTTCCGTAGTATGAGACATGTTTTTTTAACCGAGCAAAGTACGAACAGACTTTAAGGCCATAAGAAACTATAATTACGCGTCGATGTACTCCAATCACGATCATCGATGATATTCAACCGAATTGACGCGACAAGAATATTAAATACGAACAGTGTATAGCGACTTTGCGTTTAAAGGTCGAAAATTCTGGAGGTCAAGGATGTAGCCTTTGTTAAGCTTAGCCTCGTAATTCATTGAACTGCCGAATGACTTAGATTTTGTAAAGAAGAACGTGTGCGGATTATTTCCTATCAATTACAATTCAAATTAGCGAGGGAACAGGATCTTAATTGATTTTATTATTTATCTAACTTGTAACATCCCGCCATTTAAGTAACAGTCCTGTCTCGAAGAAGCTGAGAGTCTCATCTTGAACGTGTAGTTTCAAAGAAGTACAACATCTCTCTGAAATTGCATTGACCGAATGACTCCGTCATGTCTACAGACGCAAAGAAATCGTTATTTATGGGGTGAACGGCAATTGATATCGAAGAAAGAACTCGAAGAGCAGTACTCTCATAAATAGCACTTTCTACGCGGAAGGTGGTTGCGCCGGTTACCTTCCCGGTTGCCCGGTAACCCGATTAGTATTACGTTCATTGAAGCTAAGCACGTGAAACGCTTTGCTCGTAAAACACGCAGGCATTGTTAGAGAATGCATCGCGATTACATTTAAGTTTCCATGCAACACGTCGCAATTAAAACTCTGAACAAAAGAGTTTACCGGTACTTCGATATACCGAAAATTTACGGCACCAATTAACACCGATAATCATTCGTATCGTCGAAGGACGTGGAGCGTTACATAATTTTGAAAAAAAATTCCTCCATCACGCAGGATTAAATAGCTTCATGTTGGTCGGTGGTCAGGAAAACGTATCTAGGGACGTTCTTTTAATGGGACGGTAGTTGAAATATTATCGATTCGTGTTAGTTGGCCGCACAAAATTGGTGGAGAACAAAGATGGGTGTAAAACCCAGTCGATTGCGTAACCGGAGAAAGTTGTTGCGGAACGAGTCGGTCGCTTACAGCATACGTCGGTGGTATCATGGTACACGTAATGCTCTTCGGCGTTCGTACCCGGTCGGACACATTATATCATAAACCAACGAAATTGTTATGTCACGAAATCACCGACGATTCAATGATAGCCATGGGAATTACGAAACACTGGGATCGTTACGAGAGAGACAGAGAAAGATAGAGGGAGAGGAAAAGAAAGTATACACGTCTCGAACGTGTGTATCTGCTCTCATCTCGGGGTATATTCACTTTCATCCATGGCGCGTGACTTTGAACGATGCCGAGGGAACGATGTCAGTGGCTCGGTTGAAGGAACTGCAGCTGGCGGCCGAGAAGAAAAGAAAACGATTTTGACCCAGTTTCCGTGAAACGGCCGGGGACGAACCATTGTGTCGATTACGTAGAATATGTATTAAAAGCACCGAAGAGCAGTCGTAAGAACACGATGCAGTTACGAACGGAACTAGAGGACCGTTATTAATTTAAATTCAATGATTTTCTAGAATTCCCAACGAATCGAATAAACACCTCTTGGATCTCGAACATTTCAACTTGTTCGCCGGTTGTTTTCGAATCGAGCAAAAAAGAAACAAAATTAATCGATATGGGCGCGATCGAGTGGGTAACCGAAGAGGACAACTACGAGTGCGCCCTTTCGAAGGAAACGCAACAGCTCGCCAAGGAGGAACTAAGGGAGGATAAAAATACTCGGGACCAAGCCCTCGAGCAGATACGTAATTGGATTAAATTGAATCCGCGAATTCAAAACAGTCGTCTCGGTGAGGAAACGACCGACATTCTTACGGATAGAATTTATTCTATCATATACACCGTGTAATTTATCAATACAATAATATCCCGTTTCTAATACCTGCGTGCGTACATTTTCATCGGTAGATGCGAAATTCTTACTGAGGTTCTTGAGATGCAAAAAATTTAACGTACCGATGGCGGAAGAAGCCATCGAGAGATATTTACTTCTTCGTCAAGTTTATCACCCGGCTTTCAATCATTTAGACGCCACGGAACAAACGATGGACGAGCTTCTGTCTTTGGGGTAAGACTCGGTAGATACGATCACACAGATCGCGTAACATGTCCTCTGATACTACGTTTTCTGGATCTGTTTCGTTTACTTTCAGATATCTGTTCGCTGCGCCCGGTCGTGACGCGAAAGGCCGACGCGTTGTAATCGCTAGACCAGGTAAACGTTTAATTTCTTCATGTCCGTCGACACTCTCCGAACCTAATGACACCTTTCCGGACATCGAGCAAATTCTGGAAACACGATATTGCATTCTTCGTATTGCGTGTTTCCGTGACTGTCTCAGACATATTTTCACGCTATGCTCACGACACGAACGATGTCGGTCGAAAGAAATTTCCATCGCGGCCGCGGTTAAGAATTCATATACCATAATCGTTGGTTTTATCCGAATAATACGTAGCGAAAAGCTCTAGTATCTAAAACCATCATTCTGAGGTTTAAACAGTTAAGGAGATTAAATAACTGTTTGCCAAATGTCGACTGATTTAAATATTACTGTATTATAATTATAAGAATTGGAATTTCCACGTTTAAACGATCAAAAACGATGGAATACATTTTTTTTTATCTCTTATTCGAAACTCTTTATCGAGATAATGAATTTACCCATCTCTGCGATTTTGCATTCTTTGTATTGCATGTTTCATATTTTCACGCTATGCTCACGACACGAACAATGGTCGGAAGAAATTTCCATCGCGGCCGCGGTTAAGAATTCATATACCATAATCGTTGGTTTTATCCGAATAATACGTAGCGAAAAGCTCTAGTATCTAAAACCATCATTCTGAGGTTTAAACAGTTAAGGAGATTAAATAACTGTTTGCCAAATGTCGACTGATTTAAATATTACTGTATTATAATTATAAGAATTGGAATTTCCACGTTTAAACGATCAAAAACGATGGAATACATTTTTTTTTATCTCTTATTCGAAACTCTTTATCGAGATAATGAATTTACCCATCTCTGCGCGATACACGCTAAATTATATTCATTACTGCTTTCGCGTTTCCTAACGTTTTTCGCAGGTGTTTTCGATCCGCACAAGTACACGAACGCCGACATGTGTAGAATCCACGCGATCACCTACGAGTCACTGATGGAGGAGGAGGAAAGTCAAGTGCGTGGTTTCGTTCATTTCGCGGACGGGGCCGGTGTCGGTTTCCCACACCTGACGCTTTTCACTCCGAAGGAAGCTGTTCGTATCGTCAAAAACGGCGAGGTAGGAGGACCGTTTCCCTATTTCGATGTTTCCGAATGACCTTATCCGAGACCACGAAGGAAACCACTCCCCAGTTTCCGTTCCGATCGTTGAATGCTGCGAGCGTTGAGACGCTTTCGATTCAAGGACAGTGATGCAACGGCGATTTCGTAACGTCTCCAAAAAATGCTGGCCACGATAACCGGTTTCTTAGCCTCTGTTCCACTTATTCCGAATGTTCGCCTACATTCGGATGACGACTCCTCGTCGATTTGACTTTTCAGCATAAATTTCCGCTCGAACGTATAAATATCCGGCGGGTATCTGTGAAACGATCTCGAACGCTACGAAGTTTCTCTAGAATTCGATGCTGATTCAAGTCGAACCGTATTTTTCTTTTCCTTTTTTTTTCAGCGTACCATACCGATGCGACACAAAGAAGTCCATGCCATTAATACGCATCCTTCTGTGAAGTTTGCCCTTGATTTCGGTATGACATTGATCTCCGACAAAATCCGAAAACGGATCAAACTTTATACCAGTCTCGAAGATGCTATGAATCACAAACTGGACACGAGTTTGCTACCGAAGGAATACGGTGGTACCATGCCGATGAAAGAGATGATCGGTAAGTTTTATACCAAATTCCTGTTAACCGAGCGTCACAAAAGACAGGATATTTCAACATATCGTAATCGTTTCTCGCAGTTCTTTGGAAAAAGGAGTTGATGGAAATTAGACCGATTTTATTGACTCACGACAAGATGAGGGTGCGCCTGGAATTGTACTCTGAGAAAGCTCGAGAAGGAGCAGTATCGGCTCTGAAGCAAGGATTCGGATGCTCGGACATCGGCTCCAGCGATTCTACCATGTACGGCATCACCGGCTCCTTTAGAAAGCTCGAGGTGGACTGATCGAGCAGATCGATCGACAACAAGCACTAATCATGACCGTGTTAATCGTATTTACTTTGTCGAGGAGACAAACTATTATTATTTGCACTTGTAGCTAATTATCTCCTGCACCATGGATAGAAATATTGAAACGACACGATTCCGTTATTCGCGAAGAAAACGGTCGTCGAAACTTCGATCTCGGTCGAGACGCAATTGCATCTTGCGCGTTCGACATTATGTTAATGTTTAATCGCGGCCTTTTTACAGCAAAGTCTAGACGTAAACATATGCTAATCCGTATATATTCGCGACGTTTAAACGTCACAGAGCCTTACACGTAGGAAAGTAATCACGCGAAATTCGAGGAAGACAAAAGTGAGGTTATACGTTAGACTTTGGTAGTGTAGGATTACGTTTAATATTGTATTTGTAAGTCACAGAAAATTCATGGTGGCACACGATCGGTTGTAAATAGATAGTAAATATACGTATATTTTTCTACATTTATTCAATTGTTTCTTCTTTGAGAGCGAATGAAATCGAAAGTTTACGAAGCGATCCAACCGCTGATGATTTCTCGTACTTTCGCTCTTGCGTTAATAAGCTCCGGAACGTCCGTTTTTTCATCGTTGTACAGATCGCTACAATGCGACGAGCCTAGAAGTGACAGATTTTCGTTGATTAATCGACGTTTCGCGGTAGACCGCTTGCGTTACCTTACCTTTAATCAATATAGCAGGTGAGAAATCGTTCAAATGTTCGAGAACTGAAAGAGCGTGCCAGGGATCGACGTCCCCGTTAGTGAAAATTACGTTCCGCAAGTCTGGACGTAATCCTCCGTACATTATGTTCGTTCTTTTGACTCTCGTGTCCAAGAAAACGTCATTATAACTGTAAAAACGAAAATATATAGCGAAGAGGCCACGAAGCGAACCCGACTTCCCGAAAGTTATCTTCAATGGTACATACTAATCGCCGTACAGATCGGTGCACAGGTCAGTAAAGAAACTCAATGGGAACAGGGTACCGAAAATGGATTTCGTCGAGTTTGTCGTTTGAAAATAACCATATTCCGTGCACGTTTGATAGGTCCACTGTCTCACTGTAAACATAAAACTCGTAGATGAGGAAATAAGAGCTATGTATGTGATCTTTTTGACCAGCGAACGTGAATGTCTTCGATTAGGAAATTAATGTAGAACGTACTGATGTCTTCTTCGTTCCAAGTTTTATTAGCGTAAAACCCAACGAATTCCTGGTAATCGATTGGTAAACAGTTCTCCTCGTTGTACACGAGACGAGCTAGTCTTTGAAGAGGGCTGCCCAAATAAGGTGCTGTCATCTTGATGCAGCAATCAGCGATTTTTGTCCGTCCGTTTACCACGCTGTCATACTGAACGATACCGGCAAACATCTAGCGAGAAAGAAACGGACTGCGACGTTACGTAACCTAAACGTACTATGAGATTTCTCATTTCCCTTTCGTACGCGGAAAACGCGTTGTACGATATAATTTCATAATATGCGGTTTGATAGATAACGATACGATGTAATTGCAGTTTTTAAGGAACCGTACCTCCGCTAAAGCGTTCATGAAGAGCCCAAGATCGCTGGGTGAGTCCGCCTTTGGTACCTCACACAAGCTAGACATTTGTATGGGATTACATACGTTACATTAACTGCGTTACACGTTACATGTCTATATTATATAAGAAGAAGGAAACGTAGATTACTTGAAGTAAGATTTCAATTTCCTCGGGCCGTTCTCAGCTGCCAACAGTTGTTCAACCGCGTCGAACGCGGCCTTAATATCGTCCACGCATTGCTGACTATGTTTACCCAGCGAATCAGTCACGACTTCGTAATACTCTACAAAACCGAGCTCGTTCTCTCAAACCGTACGACGAAAGTTTAGCAAATTGTAAAACGTATTTTGTCTCTTACCATGAAAGTCGGCCTTCGCAAAAACTGGCGCGCTACTAGCCAACGCACCCTACAACAAAGAGACGGTGTCACTTTCGCTAAAGGGAAACTATCTTTTCGAGCAAAAATCGAAACCATAAGAGAAATACTTGAATCAGGTGAGGGTATTTAAGTCTGGACCAGGTTGCCATATTTCCAGCGTATGATCCTCCGAAAACGATGACTCTGCTATTATTAAGTTTATCCTCTTTCTTTTTAGTTTCTATGAAATACGCTAAATCCGCTAACGCTTGGTCCACGCTCAAGTATTGCAAATTCCTCGAACTGACATCCCTGGAATGTTTCAACGTAACGAGATTTACAACTTGAGGCGGAAGTTAATTATCTCGACATATTTTTACGTAAGAGCGAATGGTAACTCCGAATGGATTCAGAGATTGATTTCTTACGCGGTCGGCCGGCTTTTGCCGTAATAACGATGCTCGGTGTAATACATCATAGCGCCATGGGTACGGGCAATTTCGTACATTAAACCAGCCTGTAAGAAACCTGTAGATATTTCCCATTCCCCTCCGATCATAATCAGAATCGGTCCGCCTTCTTTAAATAACTCGGGATTCTCGTAATATCGCTGTTAAATGGAAATAGAAAGTTGAAAATTTGAATCACGCTATCCGGAACTGACGCAATTTAACACGTTCTAGGTACCATTGACCAAGTGCGATTGTCTCGTGGATTGAAGTGATCGAGAGGCTGCTCGATCCAACGTTCGCTTATACTCTGGCTAAAGATCCCGTTCGAAGAAACTGGTTCATCCAAACCTTTAAAGTGAAACCCCCGAAGACCAACGCCATTCCCAAGACGACAGCTAACACACAACGTCACTAAAATACTTAAAAGGATCATGTCGAATCCTCGATATCTTTGTCTGTTAATTAATTAATTTCGAGGCTTGACTAATGCCCACTCTAACTTCTGGAACACTGATTCTTAAAGACCTCTCGACATTTGTTTTAACATCCCAAATCAGACATCCAATAGCCCCCACTATCGAATGATAAACCACAGTTAAAAGAATCACCCTGATAAGGTGGCGTAAGTAATTGCCCATTTAATCGCAATGAAATGTACACAATCGATCCATCAAAAATATCAAATTATAGATACTGATACAAAAGCTCGAAAGATAATATTTATCGATGGCATAGGTTAAATCAACGTAAGTGATTAGGATACTGCATCTCGGGAAAGAAATTTATAAACTCGGTTTCATTTCACTTTCATAAGTATAAAATTATTTTATCGTTACATGTAGTTCGGTATGAAAAAGGAATTCTTTCGTTCAACCGCGACGATTATATTACAGAGTTCTTTGCACGCGACGAGTCTTAATAATCTCAGGGTACAGTTTATTGTTTCACTTTGATTATTGATTCGCTTTCCGAGTCCGTCGTAGCCCATTCATCGTCGGAGTTTCGTTTACAGGCTTTTTCCAACAATTCCGACTTTTCGGTTCGTTTGTCGTTGGCGCTACTGGACGAATCAGAACCAGATGACTCCTCGGTGCTATCGGAATCATTTTGTTCGTCTTTGTCCCATTTCGACTTTATACGCGACGTACGTTTCACGTGGCCTGTTTCATCCGAATCAACCGTATCCGGTCTCTCCTTGGACTTTCTTCTCGAAGAGTCTTCGGAATAACTACGACGACTCGACGATTTACGCTTACCTTTTTCGTGATTATCCCTTTCTTGCCTGCAGTATTTATTCGAGTATCTATGACTTGTCGAACGGTAATTTTTTTTACGAGAATACCTCGGCGATCTCGATTCCTCTTGATCATTATCATGCTCTCTCCCTCTTTCGTATTTCCTCGAGTATCTCCTACACGATTCACGGCCATTCGAAACGTCGTCGTCTTTAATTCTCTCTTCTAAACGCTTTCTGGAACTCGATCGGCGACGTTTGATCGGTGTTTCGTCGTTATCCGTGGTTTTATCTCTGTCAGACTGATCGTACCGTTTATCGCGCGTGAATCTTTTTCGGTGGCGTTTATCAGTTTTCCGCGAGTATTGATCCGGTTCCAGTTCAGGCGATTCAGACCACCTCCAATGTTTCGCATCGTCTGCCTCGCTGCCGCACTCCCATTTCGATTTATTCCTACAAATTGAACAATCACGTTGCGAATTAAATCGGTACTAATCAATTGATGACAGACACGCAGACCTAAATTATCATTTACGTACCTGTGTTCGGTTCTTTTGCTGGTCGTTACATCTTGGGAAGAGGAAATCGATGACTTTGCCCACCTAGGTGGACTTTTAATGTCGTACTCGTCGTGCGGATTTCTGAAGGTATGCAGAAAATTGCACGCTCTCCCCTTCGGGCATTTTGCCATACCGCAGACAGCGCTTCTCCAGGATTTCAGATTGGCAAACTCGCAATTAAGCTGCCGGCCAGCGTACCAACGACCTTTCAGCTTTCTCAGCGCCCTGGCTGCCTCTCTTTCGGTATAGTATTCAACGTACAGATTCCCACGTAAATGGATCTCGGTGTTGCAGCAGTACTTGAGCGTTTTTATTCTTCCAAAGGACTCGAGTTCCGGCACAACGTCTTTGTAAAATTCACGAAAATGTTGTCGTGTTTCCGAACTCTCGAATTCGAGGGCGACGTCCGTGTCGTACTCAGCGGAATTCTTTTCCAGGGAGAAATGAGTGTAAAATCCAGGTACAAGTATCACTTTGCTCAAGCATACTCTCCGGTGATTTCTCGAACAAGTGTCGCCGTATCTAGAAAAGTTTCACCGTTAAAATATTATGTAAGTTTTCATTTAACAGAACCGAATGTAACCAACAGCCCTGCTTACCTGCAGGCGCCTGTTTTCGTGAAAAACGGGCAAAGTTCTTTTCCAGGTTGACTGTCGATGACTTCGCGTAAAGCTTCCGGTGTCTTGATCCCATTGTCGATGTAATCATCGATCTCCTTCAACAACAGTTCCCGTTTCTTGATATCTTCATCTCTCCTTCGCTTCTCCTCTTCCTGTTTCTTACGAATCACTTCCTGTTTCGCTTCGAACTCCTGTCGGATTTTTGTTTCCTGTTCCAATTGTATCTGTCGAGCCTTTTGCTTGCGTTCTTGTAGTATTTGCCATTCTTTTTGAGCTTTCACCTGAAGCAAACGAATAAAACGTAAGTAGACGTTTCATGGTATCGGTATTAGGATCCGCTCGCTCGTCGAGCTTACGGGAAACATGTAATAGCTAGAAAATTTCGGTATCCACATGTTTGCTTTATTTTCATGGTTACATAAACCTGCAATTAACGTTATAACCGAGAAGAACACATGCTATCGATTATGAAAACAAAAGAATTCCGGTAAAGCACGAGACATGTGATATGTTTCATTAATTTCAAAAATTAAGTTGAACTTTCTTCAATAATAGCATACCGTAGTTTAATAATCGAAGGAAATAGTATATAGATATTCTGCGGATTGTCACATCAACGATCCTAGTTTTGAATTATATTACACGTGCAGTAAATACAGTTTCCAAGGAATTCTTTTTTATTCCAAATCTAAAAAGATGGCTTCAAGTTACCTCCTCTTCTAACCAAAGCTGCTCTCGTTGCTCATGCTCCTCCTTCTCTATCCTTTCTTTTTCCTCCTCGTCAATCTCACATTTTTCGAGCCAGTTCAAATAGTCCGCGTTTTTCTCCAGTGCTGCCCTCAGTTGTTCCGCATCCGCATCCCGCTCAGCGGCTGCTTTGCGACGTAGACGTTTACGACGCTCCTTTTTCGCTATTCGTCGCCATTCTTTATGGCTTCTCTTCGCCGAGCAACACCCGTCCATTACCACGCATTTTTCCCCCGGAGTATTGATTGTGTTACCTTCGATGATACCGTGAATTGTTCAAGAGTCGCGAACCGGTAACTGTTAGACGTCCGACACGCGATTCCAGCGAAGAGTTGCAGACGACACGTGCACGCCGCCATGTTACCTTTGAGACAAAATTTCGATCGAGATCGTATCTGACTTTTCATTCAAGTTACAGGAAACAAAGCGCCCGGAACATTTGCTTTCCTCGATACTTTATACTTATTCGAAACAAGAAAGGCCATTCATCAGACATTTCAGTTATGAATGTAGTTCGGAGAAGAGCAACTCAGTTTGAAGATCATTTACTGTTGATGCGACTTCGTTTAGTGTGATGTGAAACCCATATTGTCAATGATAACGTATAGGCATATAATTTTATTATTAGTGATGTAAAGATTGTTCTAGTCATAGACAAAGAAATATAGACTGCGCGTCAACCTGAAACGAACAACCCAACGTTAGAAAGAGGTAGATAGCTTTCTAAGTAGTGGGACTGAGGGGAAGGGGCGAATCGATACCACCAAGGTATCGATACTTTTACTCATAACTACTTTTGTATGAAGGTATCGAAACAAAAGTATCGATACCTTGGTGGTATCGAAATATATTTTCCTAACCTTGATATTACTTGGCATACAATACTATACACAACTTTTTACACGATCGATATTTCAGAACATGAGACACGAAGTCCCATAAGATGATAGGTCTATCGTATACCTAGTCGGTGGTACTACACTACATGTGCGTAGCGTAGTTTATCTAGGGACTTTCGATTCGTACGGCAATGAACGGAACCTCGTTTGGATAAAATCCATTCAACCCAGAAGTTTTAGTCAGTCTGCGCTCAGTTGCTACAGTTGCACGAGCAAGAACCAACCAAACTCGAGAGTTACACGAACAACAGTAATAAAGACCATGTTTCAAGCGCATGTTGACTCAATCATTTCACTACCGTCCACTCGCCCGTCACCTACAGGTAACAATAAGAGATTGAATGTGGCCAAGGCATACTGCAATTTATTACGCACATTTTTCGTATGCAGCCGAAGCTTTGAAGATCGTACGGAACATCTACCAGTTTCAGAAGTGGAACTTATCCGCGACGGATAAATTACACTACATCTGAATAATATTTAAGATATCTTTTACTGAGTTTATGCATATATTATAATAAATAATTGTAAAATCGAGTACATAAGTAGTATTTAAGATAATTATTGTTAACTTTATACAAATACAGCTGTAAATTGTACATTTACTAACAATTTTATCAATAATAAACAGTTAAAACAGTTATTCTAAAAATTACATGAATTGGTAACGTATACGTAAAAGACCCCGTGGTTGCGCGTGGGGTCATAGAACCCCCGGTGGAGGCGCCAGAGACCCCGGGCGGTGAGAACGTGGGATCATAGAACCCCCGGTGGTGACGCCAGAGCCCCCGGTGAAGGCACCACGGCCTCGTGCGGTGAGGTCGTGGGGTCATAGAACCCCCGGTGGAGACGCCAGGGACCCGCTGTGGTGAGGAAGTGGGGTCATAGAACCCCCGGAATGGATCTTATCCATTTAAAACAATTCGATGAAATGAAGCTTATATTACCTGACGTATGTTTATTGGAATATACATATATACACATAAATTATAATGATATAAAAATTTGAAATACAATACGATGCGCTACGGTACAATACGTTTATTCGATTCAATTGGTCCCTTGCGACTACAACATCGTGCTATCCGCGTTCGGCGCAGTGCGCTAATACGGAGGCCAACGAAATATCACTGTAACACTTAAAAAACAGTTAAAGTTCCATTTATATCATTGTCCTGTGAAAATATTCATACTTCCAGCAGCATTCATATTCCAATCAAAGAATTTACAGAATAAGGGAAAGGAATCTAAAGTAATTTTCAGTAGATCCATACATCTTTATCTCGAATAATTTTCTAAAACATTCAAAGTACTAGACATTTTTACACTT